ATGCATCCATTCTTTGTCTTTCCCCAAAAATTCTAAAGTTTACGACTCTCAATGACCTTTTATTAAATTTACCAGTCCATTCCTGGTCTCTTCCACTACCATCTCTACTGCCATGGGATTAGGTCTGAAAATTTTATCTCTGTGTGCTAATGTAGTGCGACAGCTTGAACTGATGAACATATATGCCAAGCTCTGACTGACTGACTGATTGCATCGTATTTACGTCTGGTTATTATTGACTTACCTAGAACGATTATTTTTTCAGCGAATATTGATTTTGAAGAACAGAAATTATCGAACGTATACTAATAAATTCATTAGTCAGACAGTGTGTTCTATGTACCGTGTGCTATGTCATCGCCAAATAACCTAAAGTCAAAATATAACACATGTACTAACACTTGATAAGATGTTATTTATCAAGTACTTTTTCACTTTACTGACAAACACATCGTTATAAAATCTGCTTAGTACACTGAATAAACCACTAGAATATAGGTTTTCATATAAGTTGTTAACCGCAGAGACTGGCTCTAGTAATAATAAATATTCACATTGACTTATTATTTTCACTATTGTGTCGTCCATCGAAGTCTTCAAATATATTCTTACAGAGGATGCGCCAACTTTTGTTTTCTGTAAAGAAAATTTCAGTCTAATATATGCACTAGTTTTCTTTATAACTATTTGAAACTTCAGTTTGGATTCGTAATAACGATCCACCTAGATCTCCACTAAATCTCATATTCGACTTCTTAATCACTTATCTGAAGGATAAGAAGGATAAACTAAATCATGCGAAGCTGAAGAAACACATTCCTTCGAAAGTATACTGACAAAGTACATACAGATGACATTTTCCAAAAATAAGATATTTATTCAAAAAAATAAATGGTATTATTTGTCTTCTTACTTACTCTTATTACCCCAACAGGCGAATGATCCATAGACCAGGAAATTTCTAATCTGCTCTATCCTAAGCTTTCCTTTCTAAGCGTTACCAAACGTCATTACTTCTTTTGATATTCGCCTTCGATTTCAGAAAATCTAAAGTAGTAGTAAAATTAAAATCTAAAAAGAAATTAACCATAAATCAAAACCATGTAAAGTTCAACGGAACTTAAATGAGAGGAAATAAACAGTGAGAGATTTTATTTACTTGTACAATTGACCTCATTACTTTATCACGGTAGACCAACTGTTATAATTTGTGGAAATATTTTTTTTATGTTTCGAATTGTTCAGAACTTTACAGTTAATTCAAATGACATCATTTCAATTCATAATTTCCCTCTATAAACTTCCGTACTCTAGAATCGAATGACTTCATCACATTTCGCATCAACGAATTCTAAATATATTTTAGAGAATTAAAAATTTCAAATGAGGTGACAACTTATCACACTCATATGGGAATACTATTTCAATGTACCAAACAAATCAACTGTTCTCTTGGGAAATTCAAATTCAAAATAGCAGAACAATGTTGTACTACAATATTAAGTATAAATTAGTATTTACACAACAGTTCCTCATCGTTCTAACATTGTATCATTGCGTTCTTTTTCTGGATATAAATACTGGGAATTTAAAACGTGTTTAGATTTACTACCAAAACGCTGATTACGTATTAGCTATTCGGGTAAATTTTGTTTTTTACAAAGTTAGAAAAAATCTTATCTGGTACATATATTCTTACCAAATAAAGGAGATCAACTCATTTTCAATTGCATACGTGAAAAGTCCTGGTATTCTAATCATTATCCTTTATCCCTATAGAGTTGTGAAGACTGTTGAGTTTCATTGATAGCATGAATCAATATGATTTCGACAACTATTCACGATCTGCAAGCACTCAACGCTCGTTCGATCCTAGAATGGGACTCCTGAGCGGCGTCCTTGCACGAGAGTAGAACCCTGAACTTCAGGTCATGAATGCGAACACAACCTCTGCACCACTCAGCCAATACTTAATTGTGTACAGGTCTAACTTCAGTCAGTTCACGATAACGACTGATTTTTTGGAGTATCTCTACTTACTTACATACTTACTTAATTACTTACTTACGCCTGTTACGCCCATCAGAGCATAGGCTGCCAACCAGTATACTCCAACCTACTCAGTCCTGTGCTTCCCTTTAGAGTTCTGTCCAGTTTTTGTTCATTCTCCACTATGTCTCGGAGTAATATGTTTCTTGACCATCCTGTTGTCGTTTTGCCTTGAGAGTCCAAAAGAGGGCTTGTCTCGTGATGCAGTCGGTTGCTTTGCGCAGTGTGCCTCCTATCCACTTCCACCGCCTCTTCCTCATTTCCTCCTCAGCTGGAATCTGGTTTTTCCACTCCCGCAGTAGGTTGTTGCTGATGGTGTTTGACCTGTAAATCCGGTGTATTTCGCGTAGATAACTGTTAGTGAATACTAGTATCTTCTTGATGATGGCCATTGTAGCTCTGCAAGTCTACACCTCATACAGTAGAACGGTTTTGACATTTGTATCGAAAATTCTAATTTTGGCACTGGCTGATAATTATTTGGAGTTCCAAATGTTCTTCAATTTTAGAATTGCAGCCCTTGCTTTCCTGATCCGCGCCTTCACATTTGCATCGGATCCACCTTGCACATCAATGGTGCTGCCCAGATATGTAAAGGTTTTAACGTCCTCCAAGGCAACGCCATAAAAAGTGACTTGGTTGGCGCATGTTGTGTTGTATCGGCGCATGTGGCTTTTCCCTTTACTTATGTTGAGACCTGCTGTTGCTGAGGCTGATGCTAAACTGGTCGTTTTCTCTCGCATATGCTCTTGCATGTGCAAAGTCCAGATCGTCCAGCTGCACCTACCCACTGTACATCGTGCTTCCCTCCACGTGTTGATGTCCTCATTACCCAGTCGATCACCAGCAGGAAGAGAAAGAGTGAGGGCAAGCAACCTTGCCTGACATCGACAGTCACCTCGAAAGAGTCTGTGAGCTGTCCCACGTGCTTGATTTTGCAGTTTAGCCCATCGTAAGAATTCTGTATAATGTTGACGATTTTTTCAGGCATTCAGTAATGTCGAAGAAGCCTCGGTAGTGTTGTCCTGCCCCCATTATCAATTGCTTTCTCGTAATCACTGAATTTGATGTAGAGTGGTGGGTTTCATTCAACTGATTGTTCCTCCTTACACTCAACACCGTCTAGTTACATAGCTTACGGCTTTATATTATTTTTTTGTCAATTTTTTATTATATTTAATCACTTTTCAAGTTTAACCTTATGTAGTCTACACAGGAAAATCAACCTTAATTTAATAACTTTGCGATTCCCTGAATCTGTAATATACTGTCATATGTAACGAGTAGATAGAGACAGTCAGACATTAACACAGTTGGATACCGGCCGAGTGATCCAGAGGTTAGGCGTTCGCGCACAAGACCGAAGGTTCTGGGTTCGAGTCATGTGAGTAAGAGGAGTCGTGGATGCGCACTGCTGATAAGTCCCATACCAGGACAGAACAGCCGTTCAGTAGTTACAGGTTTCTAATGGTAATCAAACAATGATTGATTGATGATAGCCTTATTTCCTATCAAATAGCCGACTGGTGCATTTGAATTACAGACCTTTATGCTATTGCTGCTAATATATTTTGTGTTTTATTCATGAAAAATACTAAAATGTAACGGTTTTTTAATTTATAATTATCATTTATAAATGTCATAAATTAAACCGTAGTATTCCATGATGAAGAGTCTCTATTATTGCCAAATTTTTTAATTATTGCTAAATTCTTTACTTTTCAAGTAAATAAAATTATTCAACCGATATAAATCACAGTATCCTCTGTGCAATACAGTGGGTCTTCATTAGAAATACCTTTTTATAACACCCACGTGACTAATTAGTCAGTTATATGTTCATAGCAGCAAGAAAGCAAACTTACCTGAATATTTTTAAAATAGAAAGGTGAAGATTACCATTGACAAACACTCAGTTCATCTGATACAGTAATTTTGAATCAAGATATATTTTATTGCAGCTTACTTAAACAGATGTGGTTTTCCAAGAAAAAATCACATACAGATTATCAAAACAACTGATGACAGAGTTAGTACTCATATCGAGAGAAAAAAATCTGGCATACCTTTCGTCTCGTTCGCTTACCAGAAATTACCGAAGTACCTGATATCATTGAAGGTGATTAATGTATTTTCGGTAATTTCGTTTTGTTATTTACATCCGCATCATTGACTGAACTATGGATTCAGGGTTAGTTTAAATTCATATCATAAATTGGAGGAGCACATGGTTCTCTTCAAATGAAAATTTTACATAAATTAGTGACCACTGATTTACTGGTTCAGTTTGCACATGAAAATCAATTAGCTGGATCAAAGTTTAGTTATATTTTGCCCTTCATTGATTGTAACGACATCTTGATATGAATTACAGTGAATATTTTACAAGTTTTTAATATGCATTGGCATAATAGTATTCAATACAACTCAGTCCTCGGTGAAAAGTTACTGTTTTATTTGGTAGATAGCTTAAAGTGAAATATCTATTGAACCAATGAAATTGTAGTATATTTTTAGGTCTTTAACTTGTGTGTTGTACAGCAATGTAGTTACAATAAGTTTGGTGGTTGTAACAATTTACTAACACTAACAATGTGCTTCTCTCGACATCCTGTTTCAAACATATCTCTTTTGATTTAACATTCTGTGTAAACTTACAATTAATGTTTATTTCACGAACTTGTATTGCTGAGTTGTTACTACATATAAAATAAAATCAGAAGATTATTTGAGTAACACAAAGTAATTTCAGCTGGAAGTTAGTGATATGTGTTTCGTAATAGTATTTTATCCCTCAAAATGAATTTAACTTGCTCTATTTACACTGAAAGAAACATTATTTAATGAAGCCTAATTCCTTTTCTCTGTAATTCAATAAATAGTTTAAGAAACAAAACAATATGTCAAGTATTTATCAGTAGTTACAAATAAAGATTATTAAAAACAAATATTTTTTGGAAAAGAAAGCATATTATTCACAGGAGATCATTTTATGCGGAGAAATGTTTGCTTTTAAAATTAGATTTTTTTCTACAAAATGAAATTTTCTTTTAAAATATAACACAATAGCACATTATTACAAATAATGAATAATTTCATCAGTGAATCACCGTTCGAATTGTCGTCAGGATTCGTTAATTTGATTATTATTTCAAACCATGTTTGCTATTATTTAGTTTTAATTTAACATGCAAATATAACAAAAGAAATTCGCGATTATTGTTTAAATAAAATTTGTCAATATACATTTTCGAATTTTCATTTTTGTAAACTGGTTAGTTTTCCATTTGATGTTGGTTGTTTAACTGGTGGTTGAACACTTTCTGTATTAACTTCTCCTGTGTCACCAACATAATCTTCATAGGATGTTGATAAAATAGGTTCAGCTGGGCAAAACTCAGGTGGAGGTCTACCATCATAGCCTTCATATCCGTATTCTAATACTTGATCTAATCTTATGGCAGGATTTTGCTGACGATCAAATGATTCCCATGGTGGTATGTCTGTCGTTTTTTGTCCATAGGCTCTAGCAGTGACACTAGGAAATGTTTGTGCATCTAAACTTCCATTTGTATCTGTAAACAGAAATTAAAATAATTTGACATGTTATTTCATCATAAATAATAAATTCCCCCTTATAATTCACTTCTTTAAAAATATAATATCTCATTTTGCGTGACATACTGATATATGTCAGCTGAATTGATGTAATTGAATCATCCAGCATATCATATGAGAGAAAAAAAACAGTTAAAGAAATAGAATATCAACGATGATTTTAGTGAGCAGATATTTCAGATTAAGTACTCGATTGTATGATTCTTAAAGCGTAAAGCTCAACGTCTATTCGATATATATTAACTGACATTCTTATCTGAAAATTTGCCACAATCACGGACATAATTGTCTTTCGAATAAAAGTATTTCTATCAAATGATAAAATATCACTAAATACACCACTCTCGAATCAAACTTTCTTAAAAGATTTCTAGTCAAAATAAATACTGTAATAAATGAACGTGTTTATCATGTTTACACAAGTAGGTAAGTATCACCAGTTTATTTAACAAAAAATCATACATTTTTTCTTTCTTGAAATCAGTGCGTTTACATACTGAAATTATCTAAGCACATGATATTCTCTCTGAAATCTTAACAAAATTAAGATTCATTATTCCTTGTAGAATTAGAAAAAGACTCTATGCATAATCATAATTAGGTTTAAAAAAAGTTATTTGATTTATAACACTTCTGATAGTCCGGTAATTCAAACTTCTTCGAAAAACACTGATTTACTTTAATGAAAATTGAATATGTTAAATCATAGTTGCATTAAAACTGACAGAAAATAACCCTAAACTACGCAAAAAATAGATGAATAAATTTTTATCAATGAAGATTATGTCTTTTAAAAATATATCCATGTGAATTCGTAGTAAAGTATTGTAATATATAGAATGTTGTTTATTTACCGGATTTCCTACTAGTTGGTAAATACCCATTACTAGGATACGATCCATTAGTTGTAAGTTGATATTGACTGGAATTAAGATTTCCTTTCAATACTGAATAATCAATTGGTCCTTGAAAATCTTTCTCACCTAAAATGTATTTTAAAATGATCAACATTGAAAGTTTTAAGTAATGTAAAACGATAATGATAGGTACTACCCAATATTCATCAAAAAAGTCTATTTATTTTAAATGATCAAATATCATTCATTCATATTTTAGCATTTAACTAATGCTGATAACAAATACATTAACTCCGTATCGATTTTCTGATTTTAATGCCAATATAATGAATTTCTATTAGATGGAAATCACAAATCCGACTGATTGGCAAACCCTTTTTAGTAATTAGCTATCTTGATTACAAATTGACTGCATACAAATGCAGGGAATAAATATCTCACTCTGAAGAAAATGTGTAAACAACAGTGAATAATGAATTATATATTTAATGCCAGTGTGATAAAAATCATATTTAAGAAGGGATAAGTTAATTTAATGCAGTTTCTTGCACTGTCGTCGTCGAATTAACTTCATAATCATCATCTCGACTTATATAATTCAAATATGTTTCTGAATAGATGACATGAATGCAGACGCTTTCATTCACCATCGTTCTTTGCATCGTTATTTAAAATTATTTCAAAACCTGTGCCTCATGGTTCGTTTATTCAGTGAAAATTTTACTCTCTTCCATATGTTTAGTGTATTTCATGTTACTAGGAATACTTTCCTCCACGAAGTGTGCATTTTTGTCCATAATCTAATTTTTATGGTTATTCAAAGTTAATCATCAAAAATGTGACAAATCTTTCAAAGCTTACTATTACATAAGGAATATTGTAATTCATGATATTAACCAACAAACACTTTGTCAATATATTTTATAAGAATTCGCTGCAAAATATCTAATTTGAACATAACAAGTTAGTTCAGAATTTAAGTTTAACCATTTATGAAATATTATTTAACATATTACCTGTACTCCATGGATCATTCATCTGGGTATCTATACCCAACTTCTGATCACTTAGTTCATTGTTAAAATCAATCAAGTTAGATTTCTTTCTATTACGACGTTTACGACAACAGATAAATAGCAGAAGTACCCCTAACACTAAATAAATTGAGTAGAAATAAAAAATAATGTTGAATTTTTTAATACAATTTATTATTTAAAGAAAATGTTAGTTAAAAGTGTCAAGCCAACTACTACCACAACTAAAGGCGATTGCTTCGAACCCAATTGCATTTATCAGCTTAATTGTCTATGTGAACACAAATACATAGGGAGGAGTAATAGGTCATTGCAGTCAAGTGTTTTGAAGCATGTAACTAAATGGCTTCAAAATCAGTTAATGTCAGTTAACGATGGATGTGGTAAACAGAAAATCATGTTTAACAAAAGCAAAACATATAATCGAGACAGTGAATAGGATTGACATCAATACAGCATATAAAACGTTGTATAGAGATGTCCAAGGACAAATTCTGAGGTTTATGGAAGCCTTGGCCATCAGTCAATTCAAACCCTCCTTATGTGTACAGAAACAGTTGGTTATAACCTTGAATTTACCCTGGTAATCTTTGACCGATTTATGGCCTAGAATAATTTGACAATTTACTATTCTTTCAACACTGTTTTAATTTTCTCTCTATTTACAATTACCACCTTATTTAATTGATCTTTATTACTTTTCATATAAAATGTCTTAACCAGATTGTTCAAAATTATTTAGCACAAATACAACACATTCTTTAGATCAACAACATCTACTCATTGTTCTATCAAAAATTTAACTTTTATTCGATATTTGGATTTGGATAATGACTGTATTTTCATTTGAGTATTGAAAAGTTATCGACTGGAGAACTGATAGATACTACTAAGCATTCGACTTCTAAAATCGATATACATAAATGTAGATAACTCGTGAACTACTTTGAATAGGTAGGGAATTTTTATTTAACTATCTTATTTACTAAACACATACTTTCATAAATTCCTAATTCATCATCAAAATTATCAGCTTCTTGTATTATTATTCCGGTTTTGAACACAACAGCAAAGTGGCTCGACACACAGAAATCATATTGTCCTTATTCAGTTTCAACTTATAGATTTTTAACTCAGAAAAGTATGATCCTAAAAAGAGCAATTATTATTTCTCCGAACGCATAGTTTTTCATATTTTTCTACAACTTCATAAATCAAAAATCACATTTTTGCTGCTGTTGTCAAAAAACTAATGAATAAATAATTTGTCTCTGTGAATTCGGCCGAAAAGCTTAAAATGGAATACAGAAATAAATTTAACAACCTAGATATCGTGAAAGAATCGAAGGTGTCTGTTGATTTTTTTTAAAGATTTTGCAACAATCTTTTGGTTTGAATTACGTAATTACACACATTGAATGCAAAAGTTAATCTATGCTGAATAGAATTAGGCAGTTTATGCGTGCCGATGTAAATATATGTGCGGTTATATAAAGCTCTGTTTTTTAATCATTACATTAAAAATAAACTCTATGACTTACATAAAGCCAGTATTAATAAAACAACAAGCAGAATCCACCACCAACTTAGACTCGCTACATCTACACTTGAAACTTGGTTACATAACGGTCCAGTCCACATTCCATAACAAATGCAAGTGAAATTATTAGTAACATTATTGATACGACATTCACCGTTGACACATGGGTTCGGATAACATTGTGATGGAACACATTTACCTTTGTCATTCTTAACTGTATTATTCAAGCATCTAAAAATATGATTTTTTGAAATCGCATCATTACAAGCATGTTATTATCAATTTATCATTAGTAAAATCAATACCACTTCTGATTTTTGTACTATCAAACGATAAAGTAACTTTCTAAAAACAAGCTTATTATTTTGTTATAATCGTGAGGTTGTCATATAGTATATATATTGCTGAGAAACGTTTTATTTTATTCGCAACAAAATAATTCAACAAATCCAATGCTTAGTACTCTAAGAATAATCAAGACACAATTAATAATTAAATTTTATGGAATTTACTGTTATATAATTAGAAAATACTAATAAATTACCTAATTAAAAGTACTTTTAGAGATGTTAACTTAACATAGTTCAATAGCGAATTAATTTCTTAGATTGTTTTAATGTTATCATCATATTAGCTTAGTTTGATCAATAGAATTAATGAAAAACAAATGCTAAAAACTATGAACAGTTGGATGGCTTATAATTGTCTTGCCTTTAAGGTTACCTTAAATGATTATTGTTTTAACTTATTTCACAGAGTACTTTGCTCCAAAAAAACGTATCAGTATCAGATTCATTGTACTTTATTAGGTGATACTGAGAAGACCGAGGCAGGCTCCATTTAATTAAATTTCATCTCTTACTGATTTCCTTCACATACTATAACAATTAGCCAGTATGATATGAGAAGTTATCAAATGAACAGACAATCAAGACATCTGCAGCTGGAAAATGTAACAGCCAAAATATTTAAGTCAGAATATCACTTCAGTGGACTGTTAGATGTTCCAACATGAATTATGTTTTCATAGTAGTCATTCATTTGGTACTTTTAGTTGTCTCTTATCACAAAGAAAAAGAACGTGATCCGTATAATTAAATTCAAAATCACTCTCTACATTTCGGATTCATTTATCTTACGACATATTAAGATTAGGGAAAGTGTGAATATCGTAGTGTAGGTATGATTTCAGTTACCTAAAAGGTATCAAGGAGACGGAAGTTTTAATCTATGAAATCATGTTCCATATTTTGTTTCGGTGTCAGTGGTGTTGTTTGTTTACTGATTCATGTAATTTTAATTATGGGTGACAAACAGTCATTTCAGAAATATCACATAAAAAAGTAAAAACCCAAGAGGTTTAAAAATTGATGCGCATACGTGAAAAATCGACTCATATTCACAGTTTGTTTTAAAACGGATTCTTAAACGAGCCCTAAATTCACCGAAAAAAATTAATTTCAATCAAAATGATATGCAGTATTAGTTTAGTAGTAAATGAAATAAAATATTTTATAAAATACCACCTAAATACAATTCATTAACTAATTAATAATAATTAGTATCAACTATAAACCTACTCGCAACGATAACCTCTCCACTCCTCTATACAAGCAGCGGTCTCATCACAAAGAGATTTTGAAATATTACAAAATCCAGGACCACTTGAACAACCTGACTGTCGACCAGCTGTACCCCAATTTGTATACCGTTGAAAAGAAGGACTCGTAATGATTTCTAAAGGATAATCTTGTTCAAAATCAGGCCAGATATTACGAAAATCAATCCAAGCATCATCTAAACATGCTATAAATAGACAAAAGGAAATGAACGTGAGAACGTATTTCTTATGAAGGATTCACTGCAAAATAATGGGTGTTTTTTGTTAATTTCACAAATGTCCGCTAAAATATAAGCATGCTTTCCACAGCTTAATTTTTTTATGACAGCTGAGTACAAGTATTGATTTGTTAACAGTAGAAAACCATTTCTAACAATCAATATTTGTATATAACTTTTATGGAAAATATCTTATTTGTAGTACACACACAACAGACCTAATTCAGCTATGATCCACTGCCACATGAAAACTTGAAATCTTATGAAAAACAAGTCTCCAGCACATTCTGTTTTTCAATGGCTGCCTCGTTAATATTTATCAATAACATTGTGAGAGCCAACTGAAATCCATACTACTTGTTACGTTGTCCACAGAAATCGTTATTTTTATCCTCCCATGGCATAATTTAAAAAAGATTGAAGTAAATTCGCTAATATCGCATACGGCTTATGTGTACTTTTAAAACGAATGTAATCACAATTATTTAAATAAATAAATATGGATATCTTGATTTTGAATTGTATCGTTGATAGATATCGTGTAAGCTGAAGAATGAAATAATAATATGTGGGAAATTTCGATAAGAGAAGATAACTTACCGTTCAATATCAAAATACTACATTTATTAGATTTGAGAAATTATTTTAATTTCATTATAAATATATGTCGAATTTCATAAAAGCAACTCTTTCAAATAAACTATTAAGGAGTTAAATTAGTTACTAAATAATTTCTGGCTTTTGATTCACTAAACGACCATCAAACTTCACACAACTTCCAAACTAAAATCAAACAAACCCACTTGTTTGGTAATGTTAATGAGTATTAAATAACTAAATTTAACGTATAGCGAAAAGTTCTAAATTCAATACAGTGGCTTTTTAAAATATGACTTTTTTCAAAACAAAAACGTTTTCTGTCTTCAGAAAAAGACATTTTTTTCTTTTTATCACCAGTTAAACTATCCATATTCATCGCAGTCACGTTAATTTCATTGAGTTTCATACTTCTAGGAAACCAGTATGCCATCATAGTTCATTAAGACACAACAGATATTTTATTGAAAATCAATTGGGAAACTTACTGTCTCTAGCTCCGTTTGCAATTATTACATCAACTGAACCTCTTGAGATCAATTTCTCTGAAAAGTATCTTGAGTCATAATATGTTTTGTCTAGTTCATCGATCTGAAAATCTAAAAATCTTTGAAAATAAAAACGTTTGATGTACTGACTGAGTTCACTGGTTCCTGATTGATCAAAAAGATTATCCCTTAAAGAATGAATGAACAATCATTTTGCATTTCTTTCAGTGTTTTGATAGTTTCAAAGTAGGAACGAAGATTATCTGCTACTAATTTACTACCTGTTCACCCTAGAATTTATCTGGAAGTGTTTGCATCGCAGATTAATCAGTAAAGTTTTTGTAACTATCAGTTAATTTCATGACATTAGAGATTGTGAACATATCACTGCTGAGACATAATAATAATAGTTTAAAAATCTATGAATGTCAACTTATATCTTTTAAATAACATCATACTAATGACATCTAAAGAACATTAAATCTCCATATTTTTAAACAAAACTTTAACTACACCACATAAATGGCATCATTAAAAAGTTTGATAACTTGATTAAACCTTATTTTTTATTTCTCTAGTAAATCGGTAATACAATACAGAATTCTCGCGCTATTGATGGAAATACTATCTAAAACTGATGTAATGTTACCGAATATATCGATTAAAACACTTTGACATCAGTGTAAACCTACTTAAAATCGGTTTATTCCAATCTGTTAAACGATAGTATCTATCATTTGAGAAAATAATAACTAGAAAAAATTAAATATTTTATTATGGGAAGTTTTCTAAATGAAATTATTTTACTCACCTTGATGTGAATGTAACTTCGAAAACATGCCAATTTCCATCAGATATGTTTACTGAACTCAAAGTAATTACAATATTGTCAAAGCGTAGTTCTGGTGTTCCGTTTGTAACCTGATCATTTTAGATAATAAATAAAAGTATTCTCGTAAGTAATAATATTATATCATTCCTGTGAATAAATATTGCATAAACGTCAATGAACTGTTTTCTAAAAAGAATAATTTTTTTTGTGAAAATATCATAACATGACTCTACCATTCTGTTTGTGATTAATGAAAATATGAAAGAAAAAAAGAATTAAATTTCCCTATAAATCATATATTCTACTTTCCAATACATACCTACTTTTTAAGCTCATCATCTCCTTTCTCAAAAACATCAAAATCTTTCAATCAAACATGTATTCACTTAGTTCAGGTGCAGATCCATTATTCTATGTCACTTACATTTTATTAACATATCACTTAATTGTTTGACTGATTTGTCTCTCATGAAAATAAATTCAAACATGAATATACAAAAGGATGCTCTCAATGATTACCCTTAGACAGTCGTAGTAGAAAATATAAATCTAATGATTAAAGTGAATTTGCACTTGAAAGTAAAATTCTCCCAAAGATAAGTGTAACAAGTTGCCTACAGAAATAAAAGGATCAGATTAACCATATCATTATGATTACTGATTAGTGTACTAGTTTGTGCTTGTTTTAAATGAACTAAATTCTCTCATTCAAAAGGAACTCATATTTTTCTTTCTTGTCACAACTAATTGGATGATATTTGCACTTTTTTTTAATTTCATCAAAAATAGATTACCTTTCGTGTCATTGTTATAATTTTGTTAGATATTTTGAGGAAACTTCATGCTTCAAGGAAATTAACAGTGACGGAAAAAAAGAACAAAACACGACATTTTCGTCATTTCTATAACAGATATTATTACATTTCTGTCTTACATTCGTCAATATTTGATAATATAATCAACAAATTGACATTTGGGGAAAAGAAGACACGAAACTAACATGTAATTCAAACAGTTTGTAAGAACGGAAATATTTTTCATTAAAAAAAAAAAGTGGATAGAAATAAAATTTTTAAAAATATTTTACCAATTCAGTCCGTTTTATGTAAGCAGTTATTTAACTGAGTATTGAACATGTTTTCAATAGTGCCTGATAAAAATAGGATATTTAAAATATAAAAACAAAAGTTAAGTTTTAAATATTTCAGTAGGAATTATGCATACTCTGTGATCGACTGCAGTGTAAGATAATCAATGAAACGACCATAACACAAATATCTGTGGTTTAGATGCATAGTTTTATAATCCATAGATTAATGCATGATAATGATGGTTTTACATAAGAAACTATACATTCAACTACATTGTATCTAGTACAATTTTGCTTTGACAACCAAACAATAAGTAAAATCCATAAGATGAATTGATTCCAAGAAGATCAGTCATCTTTTCAGATATATTTTTCAGTCTATAGTTACCATTTTAACTGATTAGAACATTTTTCTAAGCTTATAATTAGACTTAGATAACTATGTGTTACGAATTCAAGTTATACAGATGCCCACTGTATTATATAACACACAAGTGAATAAAAATCAAGATTATATACCATTAAAACTGACAGTTATGAGTTCACTCTTGTCCCATGTTCTATGACTATTTTTCAATGATTTATCATAATGAAATAAAATGTACAAGCAAAGAATTGATAAATCATTGTTATATCACATTAGTCGGCTATGAAATTTTCTGCAACTAGTTCCTTGAAATGACTCAATATACTTATGTAATCTCTTTAAGAAAAAAATATGTCAAAGTTGTACAAGATGTCCAAAAGATTGAATGTACTATAATCCATTTGCTAACAAGATTGTTGATTAAAGAATAAAAGAGATGATATACTTTCAGCTCAGAAGTCTGGAAACATGAATATACCTAGATTATTGGTGTAAAGTAACTTGAAGTAAGTGAATGAATATAGAATGAAAGAGGTAATGAAATAAAGTCGCATAAATTAGTCAGCGAATACTAGTATTTTTGTATTCAGTAATTAACTAAGATCAATACTTCAAAGCTTTGCTATAAAATATTAGGTGAGAATGGAAAAGTCGCAACATATCAATAGAATTATTCAGAAAACAACTTATGTTCAGTCCTAAAGTTCAATTTTAGACAATGCATATCTGTTGACTTGAATTATTATGCCTTTAATACTAGTTGTTATGTCCATGCAAATTTCTTAATTCAGACTACTAATACTAGGTTTCATTGAAGTTACATTGAATATCAAGTTACGTCGCGTATTTTTTTTCTTACTTTATAAATGTTATGTTGTCCCAGGTATATATATTGCCGTTATTTAAGATTATATGAAACCGATACTAGTTAAACAAGTCTGTAAATTGAGGTATGTCTTTCTTATTCGTTATGCTTGTTAATTGTCATATCAAACTTAAGAATGAAATTAAATGTATCTGCATTTTTCTTTATAGAGATTAAATTAATCATTACAACCACGACATTGGTAGAAAGAATACGAATCTAAGAATAATCCAATATCTATAAAACACATTTTAACAATAAGAACTTTTTCAGCAATTTAACTGTTCCGTATCAAAACATTAGAATTGATATTATCGGCTTGTTTGTTATTATACAGTATAAAAAAAATCCTATAAAGATTCTTCATCATAGAATAATAACCATATTGTTTGCAATTACAGTAATATTCCTCTTATCTTAGCTCTGATTATCAATCTTCTAATGCCAACTGACCTAGAAAATTACTGGAGTTCACATTATTTGCTATTCGTTTCAAGACCAACAATTCTACTATACTAATAAACGTAGATTTACATAGTATTTTTATGCGCTATTCCCTTAAATTAGTGATTATCATTAATAACGGTAGAAATCAATATGAATTTACTGGAATAGTATTCACAGTTGGAATAATTTTGCTTTTATTAAAAAAACCTTAAACGATTATATATGTTTATTTCCGACAGCTTATAAGGTTGTTTATTCACGAACTCCTTTGTCCTGAACTACTACAACAACATGGCTCTGTTAATGATGCTTTCAGAGTGACTGATAACTATTTGATGTGAAAGAATTCAGAATAGAATAATATTATGTGGCATATATGCTTGATAAATTTTTTCTAATTCAGATATCATACTGGACCTTAAATTTTGACCAGCATTACAATAGCTGTGATATATTTTGTAAGTCTTATCATAAGTAAAAATGAAATAACTCTTTCAGAATTCGATCTTTTATTTTTATAGTTTAAATCCTAAAATGATCTCAGTAAGATAAACATTGAAAACACCGAAGCAGCGGATGGCTGCGCTGTCCAGTGCTTTCAGGAATTCAATGGTTGACTAACAACGATCAACCCATAATTTACACTACGAAAATTCTACAGTTTCTTCAAAAAGTGATATACTGATTATTTATCTGTTACAAAATCACGTTTACAGGTTTTACTTGTGCCATGTTTTTATCTTTCCCATATTACATATATTCGTATAAGTTGATACTTGCTTGAGAGGCTTTTGTCACTGCTATTTTCTGACCACATTTCTAACTTCGTCAGTAATATATATATATATTTTTTAAACAAAATAGACTATTGATCATTAAGGCTTCATTATCCCTTCAACAGTTGAATATCAAAGAAGACCTTGTTTAGTTGGTTGTTGACTGCGACTGCCTTGTGGAGAAGATTAAGAAATACAAATAAATCAAGTAATTTTCGAAATGATATTCTCATGGCAAATTAAGAAATTGGTTACACCCATCTGCGTGTTTCTTCAGTCAAACAATACATCAGTCAAACTGCCTAATAGATGATTGATTTAATTGTGAAAACACTGAGAAATTTTCTAGGACCCTTTTTTTCAAGAATCGAGTATACTTTGAAAAGTTTGAAACATAAACAGACTTTACTAACCTATTTACATATTAGGCACAGAGTTCATATAAAATTATGTCAATTAAACATATTCAACTAAATTTTCAAAATATTTACATTTAGATTTCTATAGATCAAATTACTTAGGAATGATTTTTTTCATAAGAATATTTACCAACTGCTCCAGGCTATTCTTGTTGATACAACATGCATTTATTAAGCCTTGGTCACAGCTAACAGTATATATGTATATATACATATGTATATATATATATACATATATATATATACGCGTATATATATACTACATATATGTATATATCATCTACACTAGTATATCGTATGCAGTCGATTCCTATAGATTATTCAAGATAATAATGCTAATTAAGCAAAGTTATCAAAATTCTTTTAAGTATTCCGAATTTTCTATTTATTCTTTTCAATGCTTATCAGAACTAATTAAAGTATATTGCAACATTAAAACAATTTTATTATCAAGTGTGATCAACTATCTATTTAATTCCCTGATCATTATTAACTTTATTCATCTACAAAAGTAGTATATTATGATAATGACACGAAACAATAATCTTTTTAATTTAATTATTAAACTTTATTAAATCTTGGTATATTTAATCAAAAAAAGGGTTGCATTAATAAACAAAGCGGGCGTAAGTTTTAGTCTTCCAGTAGCATGAAAACACAAAATTGTCATTGTCAGAGACAATTTATCGTACACATGTGTTGAAGTTAATTCAATAATTCACTTTCCAACAACCTTTGACATTGAAAAACAGGTATGGTTTTTAAAAAAAATTGACAATTATCCATCCATGTAACTTTATTTACTGCATGTTACATCAAAGCGGAAGCATTAAAAAAGTTTCCAAAATCAGTTTCTATAAAGAACTAATCTATTCAAACGCAAATGAGAATAACAATTCTATTCTAACTGGAATGTCTTCTGGACATATTTATTTTTGAAATTAGCAGGTGTTATATATATATATATATATATATATATATATATATATACATAATACATTCTCATGTATTCTATTGTGAAACTGATGACAAAATGTGTTAAGTTTATACAGGCATAAACGTCTACTCATAAAACAAATGAATATAGATATAATTAACATATTGAATTTAAATTGAGATTGTTTATTTAAACAAACAAACATATCCATTGTTTCTAAACAACAATGAACTTGATATTGTTTTAAGTTTTAAAATTTTAAGATGTTTATCGTTTAAGAAATAACTGTTTATTATAAGAAAAGATTAAAACAAAAGTATTTTGAATAAAAGTTTAAATAGGAATATGATTTAATTCATAACCTCTAGATGAATAAGTTATCGGTCAGTAAATTGCATCTGTTAGCATTATTAATTATAAATAATATTTTTCTTCTGCCTACATGGTCAACTGTAACATACAGGATATTTTTTTTCATCACAATTGAATAACCTATCATGTTTGCTACTGTTTTTAATTATTTACATAATTATGCAAATATTACTTATTTGAATTTATTCTATTCTATATATGGATAGAACAAAAATGCATTTTCACATCGTTAGTATTTACTTCAGATTTTTGGCTTTTTTTTAGCGATCTTGATTTGATTAGTTTTATAGAATGATTATGATAACTGACTATTGGGATAAACTATCCTAATGTTCTATGTACCAAATAAAGTAAAGTATTTTCTTCATTAATGATATATTATCACTGGAGACATGTAAGAAAAAAAATTTTTGCAATATTTATTCGACATAAGAAATTTTGCTATAAATAATGCATGAACTGATGAATACGCCTAGTTTGGTAAAAAAATGTCAGTATATTTTTGATGAAAAGCAAAAGATATACAAGTCATGAACAGTTGAGTGATTGGTAAAAAAATTTCAAGTTGAAAAAAGTTATAATAAAAGGATAAAAGTTAGAAGTACAATAGGTTTGTCTAGTACTTGTAAATGGATTCTTAGCATTAACTATTTATCAACAAACGTTAGATTGGATTCATAACGTCTACATTATACTATTTTTGTGTAAAACGAATCACCTAAAATCAGATTACTGAAAAAAATATATTGCTGATAAGTAATTAGTCCCAAGTTGGAATACCCATGACTTGAAGGATAACCAGTCAGAAGAAATGAAGTTTCTCAGTCACGACAGAATCTAATAGTACGTCTAACAGAGAACTGTCTACCTATCGAAATTTCGAGGTATATCTGTTAATGACCCACAGTCTCAATGTTATCATGATCCTGAGGATATTTTAGGGTTCTCAGCATGATATAATATGAGACCATAGTTTGTACTGCAAAGAATCTCAAACTAAAATAAATCGACCTAATTGACGTCCATATCGAATACCATATAGAAAAAACAATTGCTTTTTATCATGTAGTTCGTTGTCATTACGATAAGCTGTTTTCGTACTATGAATATTTCTTATATGTACAGAATGATTTGACGAAAATTACTACAAAAATTATCTTTTATATTAGGGAAATGATAAAACACAACCATTCATTAAACTGATGTTTCGTTCTTTGTATGGTGAGGTTGATAATAACCAACGTTTACCGAAAAAGCTAGTGAGACGTGAATCGTTGTAAACTTTTAACCATTGTTCTAAGATTATTTGGTTGTGAACTTAAAATCTTTTTTTTTAATGGTCATAAACAAATGAAACAGTTATTCAAACAATGGATGAGGGTTGCACGATATTTTGAAATTACTGAGGTTAGACATGTGCGTCATTGGATTCCGGCTCAGTGTTCTAGAGGCTGAGCATCTGCATGCAAAGGTAGTGACTTTGATTTGAGAAACTGAGTTTGTAAACACCAAATGTTATGGAGTCCCCCATCCAATGCTTCCATTTTTTAATCGTGTTTTCAGCAAAAATCAGACAGCTAGTTTCGCATCAATCACAGACGTTCATCGATCAACGCAAAAAAAACAACTGTTCACTTAGCCACTTTTAAAAAGAGTTCACATCATGGATTTATTACTTTATATTGTGAGCCTGATTGAAATGTTACCCTCCAAAAACTGAATTCATTATGTCACAGAATGTATCGTATTGTTATTCTTTCTAAAATATTTATGCACAACTACTCATAAAACACATATTCATTAATTTATCCTTCGCCGAACCAAAAAAATTCATACGTATGCCTAAAAGGATTTTGATTGACTTAAGAATTTTTCTTCTTCTGATGAATCGAACTTTTTACTAACAATTCTGATGTAAATATAATCTTTTAAAGGGCATCAACATTAAGGGTATATTTCAGTTCGACATATAAGACATTTTTCGATTCAAATCTTCGCCTACATACAATTCAACACATCAACGCAAGAAATTGTTCTTCAGTTTACATATATTATTATTTTTTGTAACTAAGATGCTACTCCAAAATACTTTTTGAGATTTGTAACGAACTACTTATCAAACATTAAGTAGTTAAAACTTTATGCTCATTTTTCAAGTAATCTGATGTAGTCAGTAAACTGTGAGAGGATTAATGCATACTCACACATATGGTACAACCGAATTAATTATTTGGGTGATTAGAAATGAAAAGGTTTACAGAAGCTACCAGTTTATTCTATATTTGAAAATATATATTTCATAATCGTAAGGAACAAGTAAAACAGCAGATGACTAACATTTAACTCAAAAAATGCTGCATACGTTTCAATAATTACTCGTTTCCGAATGACTCTAATATTTAAGCCAAAATATCGTTAACTCACACTTATAGAAAGTTTCCATGCGCCAACTGCAAAAGCAACAAATGTCTGAGCTCTTGTTCTTATGCTCAGTCTTAAACGATTGGGAACTTTATCAGTGAATAACGCATTGTAAACTATATTGGTTGTAGACCAACCGTCAGAAGCTGAAAAGTAGAAATTTCGCAGTACATTTTATGGAAGATTTATGCATAGTCACAATACTTGTACAGTAGAGAGAATCGCCATGTCTGCACAGTACTCAGTATCAATTTGATTTTGTGAAACAACTTACATTGTGACTACTGATCTTAGTGACCTCGAAACAGAGTGAAACATGCTTCAATATTAAGTGATTACAAGCATTTGGCAGACAACCATCTGGGGAAGTATTTCACGGTGCTGTTTAGCAAAGAGAATAAATGGAGTTTTAATTAGGCTGATAATCCCTTCAGAGTTAAAACTAGCACCATCTAGTGCTACATATAAAGATGCAACCATCGAGCTACTTGAGTAAAAACTGACCTTTTACAGGACTGACAAATTCTACTGATCACTAAGTTATAATCAGCATAATCCTTGTTACATACTCGCTGGTATTGATTTACCTTTTATCACGATATCGTGTAACCACAAGCTTTCTACTACATATTGTTTGCTACGTACAACTGACATGAAATTTTCAACAACCTCTTGAAAACCATCACAACATCTGTATAGTCCCCACAGTACACTGTCTTTCTAGCTTCTTCATTCGTATCAGATATTCTAGCGCAATAAAATACGTCTTTCGAGACATTCAACTTCAGTTTCTATAACAGGCTGGATGGTATTAGATAAATATACAATTTCATTCTCCATTCGTAAAAACAAATATACTTGATTTCGATTATTCACTTAACCAGCTAGGTTTTAAATCACTAGAAATCATAAGTATATAGGCATTGAATGTTCCATAAAAATTATCTTCTGTATAATTTGTCAACTGAGATTCACTCATCAATTAAGATGTGATGTATCATTCATTTTATTATTGTAGATATTTGTGCACAAATCAGGTGTATGTTATCCTTTGAAGATATCTACTATATTCACGAACAAAACGTATCATACGTCCACTTAATAGATTATACAGTTATTGGGGTCTTTATTCCAGAGTAATACATAGTGCCACTTATTACTTGACACTTTGATTATAGTTTTTGTCAATATGTCAAATATTCCATATTTATTAAATTTCTAATATATTTTATGAAGAAAAAGTGTAAGATAAATCAGCTTTTTTTTGGACAAATTACTATTTTAAATAAGTATAAATCAGATAGAGATGAATAATTGAATACTTGATTCTGTTGTGATTAGCTTTTGACTTATAGGATTACTTGTACAATATTTTTGATTCATGATAACCAAAATAATTGAAGGATGAATTTTCACAATAAATAATTTGACAAAAAATTTAAACAAAATATTTTGACGAATAAGTGATACGTAATTCTGATGGTCAATAACCGTTTTATCAATCAAAACCCTATACTTCATGCAATTTACTATATGGGTAATTATGCCTATCAGTTGTACAATTATTCATTTAATTGTCAGGTTATGTTTATGTTTATTCATGTTTCTAAGTATTTTTTGATAGATTCAGGAGAAAACAAATATGGCATTCACTAAAGAGTTAGTGATTTCTTTACCAAACTCATAAATGCCTATTGCTAAAAGCTTTACTTACCAGTTTCACATGGCCATCTATGTGGTTTCAGTGAACCAGTTATATTAGGTCGGTAGCCTAGTTCACATTGACAAGTTAGTATATCAGTAGAACTTATTGCATTTCGACATTTTCCATGCGTTCCACATAACTTCACATTCCCTCTTACACAACCTTTCTGAGAGTCTGGACAACCACGCCGAGAAACTTGTGATAAAAGTACTGGGTAAAAATCGATAAACTAAAAGGAGAAAAAAGTAGACTATATATTAGTTCCATTTAATTTAAGAAGTAAACTTTTAACATTAATTTAGAGAGGATACAATTTACAAATTAACTATACTATATACCATCCTGTGTAAAATTGTTTCACATTTATCAAGCATTTAATAATTTTAGGCTTTCATGCATCAAACACTGATTAGATTCTAGTAGTCTCAAATATATATATATATATATATATATATATATATATATATAACTGAAATCTATAAAGCCACAATGTTTTCAGTGAATCGTAAAATTTTTTTAAAACGTATCCACATTTACAAAGAGCTTTACAATCTCCTTGATCCTTTCACGGGTTAGCTTATTAATATCACTAGGCATCTGATGTAGATAGTAACTAAAAACATTTTTATGCGTCACTTAATGCAACGATAAAGATCTATTGGTCTTCTAAACATCGAATTAGCATACGGCTATATCATACTACATGAGGATCAAAAGCCGTATGCAAGTCACCTGTAGAATTAAGAATCTGGCAATCTAGATTGTCGTTGCAAAAGATCTATATGACAATTAATCAAGCCAAATCAATCTAAATCACCATATTAGGTAGATGACAATCCCTTTGTAACCGAGTTTAAATGATCATGGTCACAAAAGTAAATTAGTCACATTATTCAAAAATGAATATCAATCAAAACTTTTAAAAAGGTATATAAAACCAAACGGTTCTAGTAGTAGTAGTAGTAGTAGTAGTAGTAGTAGTAGTAGTTTCACTGAGAATTTACTTCAAAAGATTTACCTCTCTATTCACCATAATACTGTCAAGACATCCTCTAAATCTTTCTGTAGATGAAACAGATTCGTCACCTATAAGGATATATCCTCCTATTTGTATGGTATTCACTGACAGTGTCATTGTATCGTTCACTATACACGGTGCTAAATCAGAGTATTTACACCGATCTATCATCAAAACTAGATTCCATTGATTGTTAACCTGTTAATAAAATAATTATACAAATAGGGAAAATTAATAAAAATCTATGAGCGCTTAGTGTAAGAGATATTTCAAACAACACATTGTCTTTCAATTTTTTTTTCGGATATAATTAAAATAGAGTCACTTTAAATTTGACATTGTTTTCGTGTCACACTTAGTAGCAGAACAAAACCAATTATCCGTTGTGGGTTACAAACTTATGATCAAATAAGGATTACCAAATTAAATGATTAAACTGAATGAATCAATAAGTGAATGCCATTATACTATATTAGCGAGTATTGTCTTCTTTTGATGTTAAACTGTCGACGGAATCCCTCAGATGAACTGATGGTAGAGGCTAGGCCAGTTACAAAAAGGAGTGAATTTACTGAAGTAAAATCCCATGCATGTAAAAAAAAATATTAAGAACAGAAATTAGTATTGTTTGAAATCATTCGAAACTAAAATGGTTAGAAGTTATAGATTCTGTACGCTACTACTCAAGTGTCAATGAGTTTCATTTCTGACTAACAATTAATTTCCAAAACAGCTGAATAGCATTAGTACTTGCTTAAAAATTCCACTTCACATGTTCTACTGGTTACAGTTTACAGCTTTGCTGAAAGGAAGTTTATAACTTCAAAATCAGTCATTAAGAACGCTTTTGTAAGATATCTCAACCTTAAAGTGGTTACTTTGATCTGTCTCAGTCTTAGGTATCGATTACAAAAAAGAAATTTCCAGCGAATAATTGATGACAAACACTAGTTGAGAACAAAATATTTGTTCAATGTACACTGGCAATCTCCCGATACTCATGACAGTATGCAATCAGTGACACAGATTATTAAAGAAATTTTGATTTCTTAATGAAAAAAATATTGTCAACTCTCCATTTAATAGAACTTCACTCTGTACATTATGTTGATAATATTATTCCTCTTTTAAATTATATTACCTGAGTATTCAGAAAAATATCTACATAATGCCAAGCATTGTCATTTAATGCAACAGCGCCAGAAGGTAAACGAAGAATTTTCGAAAGTGATAAATAAACAAAATTTACACTAATTCGTCCAAATTCAAGGAAAACTTTAATTTGAATTAGTTGATCATTTAAAAAATACGTAGAATTCTGTAAAAACAAAAGAATTATACATAAATATATATATGAATAAACAAATTCACCTACATTGTTGTACAGACAAAACCAATTTTAACTAATCAACAAGTCAGTAGTATCACAGTTTATAAAGTTACCATTTGAATTGAACTGTATTCGTACTAATTCATCTATTCTATAAGCATGCAACAAGAGTGTTCATTCATTTCATTTAAATTATGTTGTTAAAATAAACAATACAGACGAATCAATTCAAACTATTTAAATTGACTGAATAAAATTAAATATTTAATTCCTTAAAGTAAGCAGTCAATAATTAAACAATATCAATGTATATTAGTACGCCTGAATGAAAATATCCGTTAATTCTAGATACATCACATAAATTTTTTTAAAATCTATATTAATGTAGGGTATTCATAATAGGAAATTCTCATCAATGGGCAGAATTTCACACACTTACTTACGCCTGTTTTCACCAATGGAGCATAGGCCGCCGAGCAGTATTCTACAGCCTATTCTGTCCTGGACCTTCATTTCCAGTTCTCTCCAATTTTCGTTCATTCTTCTCATGTCTGTTTCCGTTTCTTGGCGTAATATGCTTCTTGATATTCCTCTTTTCCTATGACCTTAAGGGTTCCACGTGACGGTTTGTCTTGCGACTCAGTTGGGTGCTTTCCACTTATAAAACTTCTTAGTGATTTACTCCTCCAACAGAATCTGGTTTATTCTCACGCATAGTAGGTTGTTTCTGAATCTGTCCAGCTAACTAATCCGAAGCATTTTGCATGTATCTTCTGGATGATGGCTTTGGTAGTTCTCCAAGTTTCTGCTCCATACAGTATAATTGTATTAACTCTTGTACTGAAAATCCTGATTTTGGTGTTGATTGATAGTTCCTCAATTGCAGCAGTGCAGCCCTTGCTTTGCCAGTCCGCTCCCTCACATCTGCATCAGATCCATTTTTCCCGTCGATGATGCTGCCCAGATATGTAAAGGTGTTAACGTCTTCTTATGCATCTCCATCAAGTGTGATTTGGTCGACGCATGTTGTTTGGTGTCAGAAAATCTCGCTTCTGTTGACCTGCTCCTGTTGAGTCTACTACTACACTGGTCGTCTTCTCTTGCATTTGTTGTTGCGTGTGCGATAGAAAAGCCAGATCATCTACGAAGTCCAAGTCGTCCAGCTGTATCCTGGATGTCTACTGTATCCTGCGCTTCTCTCCGAATGCTGACTTCTTTACAATCCAGTCGATCACCAGGAGAAAGAGAAAAGGTGAGAGTAAGCAACCTTACCTGACGCCGGTATTCACCTCGAACAAGTCTTTCAGCTGTCCTCAGTGCACGATTCTGCAGTTTAAACCCTCGTAAGGATTCCATATGGTGTTGACTATCTTTTCGGGTACACCGTAGTGTTGAAAAAGCCTCCATAGTGTTGTCCTGTCCACGCTATAGAATGCTTTCTCATAATCGACGAAGTTGATGTAGAGTAGTGAGTTCCATTCAACTGATCGTCCCACAATCATCCGTAATGTTGCGATTTCGCCGGTACCTGGCTGATCCTTACAAACTCCGGCCTATTGAGTCCTGCATTCTGTTTAACAACACCATGTTGAAGACTGCCTGGCACTGAGAGAAGACTGATGCCTCTGTAGTTCTCACATTTGTTGAGATTGCCTTTTCTGGTATTTTGATCAGGCATGTGTTAATGTATTTCTGTGACTGAAACTAGATCTTATAAAAGTGAAGGACAGCTCCGAACAAACAAATGAATTCTCAGAATCCTATCGAATATTTCAATCATCTGCTTTGTTAGATTTTTATAAAAACAGTAATTTTCAGTGTTAATTCAGAGAGTAAGAAATAGTAGCAAAATCTTAATGCATTTTTATGCAACTATTATCCACAAAAAATAAACTTCATTCTGTTGATAAGAAATTACCAAAGAAATAGATTCATCATAACAGAATTTTTAAAAATACAGATTATTCCCCCTAATACTTTCTACAAAACTATCTCATTAGATGAAAATAGCAATATTTTTTATCGACAATTCGATATGTATCATCTGATTCCATAAATAGTCAAATTTAAGATTTCATTAATCGTAAAACAGTTTCTTACATTTCAAAGGTGATAGAGAAAAACTGCAGTGTACATATCGTCTATAAGCCACATGAAAAGTCATGGAAACGGCAAACATACTAATAAGTAATATCATATTGAAAATAAGTTGATATATCTGTTATGAATAATATCAAAAAATATGTATTTATTAGTCCAATTAAATTGATAATTGACAATGCTTTAATGTCTTCTGTATGTTTTAATGAAAATTTTTTATAAGAGAAAGTCACTAAAAAACAACTTAGCATTACCAGCAGAGAGGGATAATTAGTGGCTAGCATTGGAATTCAAGACGAGCGTTTCAATCAATTCGAGACTCGTTAGCTGCATCCCAGAGCTCGTGTTCACTTCGAGACTCGAACGCGGTAACCACTGGTTTGTGCAATTAGGTGAAGATCGATTCATTTGTATTGGTTTTTTGAATCAAACCACTGATATTTAGAACTACAATTAATCAGTCTAATTGGTTAAGCAGATAACACGATGACGTTTGAAATGAAAACTACTGGGTTCGAGTTTTGGAGTAAATATGAATTCTGAAATGTTTAGGTACATTCAGTTGACGAGTTCCGAGTAGGTTGAAACACACATCCTGGATTCTACTGCTAGCCACCATACACCTCTACTAATAAAGTTTGTAACCTAATGGCTATATGGCGATAATTCTCACAAGATGCTTATGGGCCAGATACGACTGCTCAGTTGGATTCTTAAATATCAGTGAGGAGATTCAAACAACTAATTCGAATGATACAATTCTACTGAAATAAGCATAATATTTTCGCTTGAAAGTATCTTTTCTAGACTGAAAATTAAATAAGATATTAGATCTATGAGATATACTGTGTGTGCTTACATATATAAGAGCAAATTATGGTTCAGTGAACTACTGAACATTTTAATGTTTTTCGTTAATATCGCACGTCAATAACGAAATAGCATAGGTTAACCATTCTTTAACATCAATAATCATATACTGTATAGCTTTTTATCCGGTTGGTTTCTCACCGATAAGTAGGGAAAAATAAACGATACCTGCCATTTGAAACTGGAAAATTTAACATTTGAAACATTTTCTAATTGCGATTAGTAAAGAAACATCTAGACTAATATTTGTATAAATAGCACGCTGATGACTAATTTTGACCGTACTATCCAAAGATTATTCAATGGCAGATGAGTTTCAGAGTAGTTTTTTTAATCTTGCATCAAAAAATTCAACTTAAATACATCATGATATTTAAGCACAGCCGAAAGTATAAAAAAAATTAGTTTTACGGTTAAAAGTATCTAGCAATTTGTAAATGTCATTCCATTTTAATGACCATATTCATTCAACAAATTTATTGTACTACTTGTTATTAATTATTTTAGTTCATGAATATCTATGTGATGTTTCTGTCTTGTTCCATTCAATGAATTATATTATAATATTTTCAAACGAAACCTTATAAACATGCGAAATTCAAGATCAACTTATTGAAATCAAATATTTTTTCTAACTGGAGCACACAAGAATTACTTAATTCACTGAATACAAGTGAATAAAAGCGATTCTATGTTTGGTTTCATAACACCGTTTAAACGTTTCAGATAGAAAGCAGTAATCTTTGACATTGGCGAACCTTGATAAATAAACAAACCTCTACTATCATAGATACTGCCTTACAAACTGAAAAACTTGTACATCTGATCAACAATTAGCACAAATAGAATGAACCAGCCCATGAGTGCTCTTTTATTTTCATTAGATACAAGCTTGTAACAAAAAAACTCTGTCTTTAAATATGATAAAAATAGGAAGTCGCAATCGATTCACAAACGTATAGTGACTTATGAAGCCATTAAACACAAGGCGAATTAGTACAAGCAATTAAGTTATTAACCATTTAATAACATATATCTTATCTTGATAATACAAGAGCTTAAAAATTGTATGCTTAATCGGCCTGCTATAACTTACTTACATGTCCCACTTACGTCCTAGACCTAATTCATTTTTAAATTTAAACCAGGTAACATTTTTTAAGATTGAATATTGAATGTTGGTATCAATTTTTTTGAATTTTTAACTTTCTACACTATATAAGTGAAAATAGTGATAAAACACTGACATCAGCACCATATAAAAAAGTTAGAATCACGGGTGTGATTTTCTTATTCTTTTGTTTCAGCTGATTTATGAAAACATTAACATATAAAGTAACGTACTATCAGAAACATAATTAACATATACATTGTTGGATAGTGAAAAACAGTTGAAAATTACCAAATTCATAGTGTTTTTCAAAAAACGAAATCAACATATTACCTTATAAAATACAAAAGTTGTATTTTAGATTCGATAATTAGATGTAAATGAAAATAATATAGTATATTGTTATGTAAATCGAAGTGAATTCATTGCATAAAACAACTGAGTGTTGAATATGATTGATACACGTTGCGTTTGATTTCACCAGTGACATGATCTTATGTAATATTCGAAAGAAATGTATGTTTTTGAAACATTTTACAGTACACAGTGTATATTTCATTGATTTTCCATTGATCAACACTAAATGTCAAATATTCATGAAGTTTTGTCTTTATTCTAACTATTTCACGAAACTATTAGACTAAATTTTAATTTTATGCACACACATATACTAAATACGAAAGACAAAACCACTATTCATTTTTAACAATATTTGGTCACTAGAAGCCTAATGGATTCAAGTTGACGTGCTTAGTTTAATAAATGATAATTATTTATTATTAAACGGCAAACATGATTAATCAAGAAACCGAATTCCATGGGTAATTAGTAATACAACTAACAGATATTGTGCACTCATTAAACGAGCACATGTAACCGTTTGGAGTTGAATATCATAAATCAAAATGTAAACGTTTTAATCAACTTCTGATTATTTCTAATGGACGGGTTTTCTCATTGATTTAATTTCATCATCCATCTAACATCAAAAAAGTCAAAATTACTCTTTAGTTTCCTCACAAATTATGAAAACACTTAAGACAATTCAACAAAGGAGATTTTCTCTGAGACAATAACAATAATTAATGCATAATAACATACCATATTTCTTAGAGTAAACAATGTACCATTTCCATTGTTGTCTGAAGTAATAAATTGAAAACCAATATGTACAGTTTGTTTGACTGTTGTATTCATATAAAAACTGGTAAAAGGCATTTCGATCGGGTTATTGGCAACGTTAATCGAGAGTAGTTTACATTGTCTATTCATATAAGGATCTATACACGAACAACTGATTAGAGAAAAAACAAAAAGGTTCTGTTGAAAAAAACACTGTTTGAAGTTAATTAGTGAGAATCTTTAAACATAAACTATTTTATGAGATAATTTAGTGAGACTAGAATTTATGAATGAATACTTGAGCGACACCTAAGTTTGCTTACTTACTAGGGTCTAGAGAAAGTTATAAATTGGTGTAAGGAATTGGAACTGGGATTTATAGTTAGGAATGAGGGTTGGGAATCGAACTTAGGGTTTTCGTCACAAACTTACACTACATATGATGCAAAATGTTGTTTAGCCATATGTATTTGTGAATTTCGCGCCAAACCACAAAACCTCTTATTTTAAATCCGTTCGTCCATAAATCATAGTCGTGCCGATAATATTCTTGAAGTACCGATTGTTTCAAACTGAAAAATTCAAATTTTAATGTCAGTAATGCTTGCTATAAAGATTAGAGGCTCGGAGTTTAAGTTGTTATGGAATTTCGGCATTACATATATATATACATATGTATATATATATATATATATACTATAGTAAAAGTTTTTGAACTTTTGAAAAAGTGGAAGCTTGAATGAAATGGGCAGAACAGCTTTTGAGTCAATCAATACTGATTGATTTATATAGTGCTATCATCAGACTAAAAACTTTCAGCTACCTAAAAAATTGCTCACCGACTGAATCTAGATTTTCTACTACATTCTAGATGCTTATTTATTCAAAGAGATGAAAGATAATTATTTTAATATTATGAAATATTATTTCTGATAGATATAAACTCAACTAAGTTATGTTGTTTTTATCTGTTTTGTTAAAACAACATTTCTATATTACATAGTTTATGTTAATCAGAGGTCTTGGAATATTGAAAATATGCGCTAACATTCTTATTTTCATAAATATTTACTCAGTCAAGAAAATTATTTATCGACATCATTACTATATTTGCTCATATTATTAAACGGGTCACGAATTTTGTCTTCTACATCGGTAAAACTTCAATCATCAGTGTACGTTAGAGTAATCTCGATCGTGTTGGGACTATGACAGTATATCATACAATCTGAAATATCCTCGTACAATCAAGGAAAATATACTACACGCAAATAGATATACACATATATGAGTATACATATGAATATATATATGAATATATATATATATATATATATATATATATATATATATATATATAATTATGCTAACTTTCGATGGACAGCAGCTCAAAAGTAAATCGCATACATGCATCCCCTTTTTAAATGATAAATCAAAATCATATCTCAACATCTCTTTGCTTTCAAGTGATCAATTCAGAAAAGATAATCAAAGGAATTGAAACCAATTGAAACCAACGTGAATATTTTAATTACCTGTAACGTTCATTCACAGTGGTTCTTGTTCCAGCATTTAAACATTCTGGTAAATTTGTTGGAGGACTTCCCATAAGACAAAAGTAATTGGGAATTATTATTAATATTATGGTTGTTATTAGAATGATTACTATTTTACAATGTAAACATAATGAATTGATGAACATTTGGCACACTGGAAATTTGAGAAAACACTGAAATAAAACAATAAGAAAAAAACTTTGAACAAAGATTAGCAAAATTTTACAAATGCTAAAAATCAGTCAAAATATTAATCAGACAGTTGTACAGTTGTAATTAACACTGATATCGTTCGATGCATAATTAAAATTCACAAATCATTAAACAATCAGTGTGTTCCTATTTGAGAATTCTCATCAATGCACATCTATAAACCTACACCGAAACAACACTAGAACCAACAATGAACTAACAATGTAACAACATTGTTACAAAAAGATATCGTGATATCTTTTAATAATTCCATCCTTCCTCAGTTGGTAGATCATACCAAAATAAATAAGGCTTACTCTGTTTCAGATCAAAATTTTATACAATTTACCCGAAGGACGACCATTACAACTCATCCTTAATACAAAAACCAAAAGAGACCGACTGGACACCTACATTATGCAACCAAGAGCTATATGTTCAGCGTCGATGTTCACCTTGATGAAGGAATAGATCACAACACATTACCTAAACTGCATATTGTAAACCCTTCACTTCACACTTCGCTTTATGTAGTTAACTTCTCTTTCTTCTTCTTAATTTACTGACTTGTCTTTCTCAGTTCACACGAATATCTTATCATAATAATCCTAGTCCTAATCATATATTTACACGTCATCTACATTATTCTTATGATTGTTGCCTAAATTAGCCAGACATAATTTTCCATACTATGCATTTAATCCACATAACTTATGATTATTGTTTTGTTTTTTTGTTACTTGATACTTTAGAACGAGTTCTCCTAACTTTTTCTAAATTCCCTTCCTAATTTACAAATGATACATTTTTGAAATATTTGTATTATCTGACATCTCAAAGTTCACCTTTATGTTTAAAAACATGAATTTATCTAATTCACTAGCATGCCTTCTTTTGACCTTTCTAATGCAATAATCATGAATCTATAAACTTAAAGTTCTGATAAAAATAGCAACACTCTGGCTCAAAAACCTACATCATTTAGTTATAGAATGTTGTTAGTCAAATGATATCTTATATATATATATATATATATATATATATATATATATATATATATAATACAGATTTTACGAAAAGTTTCACGCCTTAGAGAAACAAACATGATTATTTTACTGAAATGTTAACTGTTATAATCCTATGTTAGACAACTCTTAAATAGACGTTATGGATTTTCGATGGAATACATGCATTAGATAAACATCAAAAACTGTTAAGCGATTAAAAATGGAAGCATTTCTGAAAAATCATAAATAAAGGATTAAAATTCATCTGTGTTGGCTGTTTGGATCTTTCCAATGGTGTTTAGAAATTTAATCGATCAGCTCTGGGATGTACGTACATCCAGGTGATTAGTCTCGGATATAACGAAACATTTGTTCTGGATTCCACTGCTGGTCACCGTTCACCTTTGCAACTGATAAAATAATTTTCTATGTAATACATTCCGTACACAACATTTAACCGGATGTACTGATAAATATCTAGATAGCATGATTGTGTATATGATTAATCCCTTCTGGAATTTTCGTTTACGATGAAAATGAACTGTGTACACATGAACTATATTAACATTACTTTTGGAAGTTCATCGGTCTGCAGTTCAATTTTCACTTTAATCATAGACATTATTCATCAGGATCCATGGATATAAGTTCAGGAAAACAACAGCTTCGATATAGTGATTATCACGTAACTCATTTATTTTAGCAACTTATAACTTAAAATATATCTTCAAATAATCGATTCTGTAAATAGTAGTCTTTTCTCACATTTTAGATAAAGCAGATGTTGTATAAAACATCCGTAGATCAACAACTTATTTTAGGATGAACAAAAAGGGGAAAGAATCATACGTTTTGTCTGTGAAACATAACTCTTAATTAACTATCATATAAAGTGTAATCCAAAAACTAAAAAGCTAAATGTTTAGTTTCTTAAAAGAAATATACAGAGCAATCAACAATGAGTTTACCTTGTGCAATAATAAGCCTTTCACTATTTCATTGAATTCATAACAAATCCTCAGTCAGATGTCTGAAAAATGTTTGAACAACTAGTGATTATTTTAATACGACTATTGAACTAGAACTCCAAACATCACATTTCCGACATTGGTAAATCTACCGGTTATCAAAATCAACAACCATTCTCTTTGATATGAATGTCTGTCTTGTAAAAATAGTGAAATTCACTGGTTGTCACTTCGTTACACTGATGTTAACAATTATTAGTGAGAATAAATTTTATTTAATTGAGTTAATAATGAAAACGAGTTCAATATGAAGAGTGTTTACACTATAACCATGCATCAGAAAATAAACTGTACAAAAGAAATGTAATTTGTTCAAAAATGAAATTATTTAAAACAGTGTATTCTGAACTATACATATTTTATTACTTTTGAATAAAAAAGCCGAATAATAATTCCATTGAATGAATACCAGTAGTGATGAATTTAATTAGATTGTTTCCTAAGTTCAAGTGTGAAATTATTTTTTTTTAAAATCAGACAAATATTCAAGGTCAAACCTAATAATTGAATGAAGTTATTCATCATATTTTCTATTCTTGGTTTAAATTAACTTCAATTAATCTGTATGACTAAGTCAGTTTAATGATGTACAAAAAGCAGGGATTTTACAGTTTGAAACATTTGGAAAAAAATTTCACATCTCTCATTATGGTTTAAATCAATTAATTCAGAGTCTGCAGAAGTACACCATCGTTTCTTCCATAAATTATTAGGTTTTCATTCTCTTTTTTCTAGATTAGAACAAAGTTTACAGAGAACGCACACATCAAACGATGGTTGATGACATCTAATAAAATATATTCAGTTTTTATTGATTCGAAGAAAAAAATTTTCATAATTAAAAACTATAAAAGATTTGTATATGTAAATCTTTGAAATTGAAATGTTGGTCAGTAACAAGAGGAACAATGTAACTGAAGACACAATGAAGAAAATGAAAGAGAAAAGATTTTTAGCGGACTGTTCAAAATGAATTCAGTTTTTTTTTCCAGTAAGTACCGTTAAACAATTCAAAACTGTTATACATGTTATCAGGTTTTATCTGATGACTAATTAGTAGCATGCATTAACGACAACATACACAATAGAACAGAGAACTTTCATGGTATCATTTTATCGTAATTTAGTGGTAAACAAACTGTGGAATTCATACTACAATATCAACACGTTACATTGGTTCTTCAAATAGTAACTGTCCTTGAGGAAAAATAATTTGGAACTTCACCAAGTAATATCGCAGCTTATTATAAATAAAAAGTTTACAGTAACACTATTTAACACTAATTATTTTTTAATATTTCTATTACATTTTGAATGTGTTAGTTAGTTAGTAAAACAGAATAATTCTAAAATACTTAAATTATCTCTTTAGAGTGGAAAGCTAAAGAACTATAAACGCCATCATCTAAAAGATACAAGTGTTTATCAACAGTTGGCTACGTTAGATACTGATAATCCGTCGGTCAGACATCATCAGCAACAAATTATTTTGGGAGAGAACAAACCAGATCCCAGCTGAGTAAGAAATTAAGAGAAACAACTGGAGATGGATAGGATACACATTGAGGCAGGCACCCAACTGCGTCACAAGACAAGCCCTCATTTAGAATCCTCAAGGCCAAAGGAAAAAATGCAGATCAAGGAACACATTATACCGAGAATTGGATGCAGACATGAAAAGATGAATAGTAATTGCGGAGAACTGTGCAGGAAGGCCCAGGAAAAAGTAGGTTGAAGAGTGCTGGTCGGAATAAAAGGCTTAAGTAAGTAAGTAAAGTATCTCTTCCATATTATCGTATTATTTGGTCAACTGACAAAAGATTTCAGTTCTATGTACAAAAACGTAATAATTTAAGGTTATTTGTACACAATCCCAGGCTAGCACATATAACCTTTTTAAATTTGTATAGCAAATATAATGATTATGGTAACTTCATAGACTGCCTTCAACCAGTAAGTGTACAAGATTACGATATTATCTTGTAACTTCATAGTACATAACATAATTTTATTATAAAAGTCATTTTTAATTTTGTAAACTCTATCAAAATTTTTAACATGGTTGATGTTTGTATTAATTGGATGAACTCAGAAGCCAAATGGTCAACTTAATGCCGTTTGAAGCATAAGTTACTAGGTTCAAGCTCCAGAGTGATCATCAACTTATGAGATTTAAGTACATCCAACTAACCAGTCACAAACTAGATGAAACGCGTGTCGTGAAATTCACTACTAGCCACTATCCAACTCTGCTAATAATTTTTTTATTGCTTGTTGTTATTGATTCATCATTTCAGTTTTGTTTTATGATAGTTCAAGTGATAATAAAATAAAATCTGACATTATGAACTGTCTTTAATTGACAACCATTCATAAACCAAATAGAAAACTAAAATATAAATTTCATCAGTCTTCAGTTATACTAGCAACCATCCACTTATAATGATTATTCACCGAGTGATAATCAATATCATGTTTAGCTTTTCGTACATCAACCAGCCTAATCGACAAAGACATGACCGATTAGTTTTCCGTTTCAAGAATCACTTATATAAATTCTTGTCGATTATCACTATCGTATTAACTAACATAGTTGAGATTACTACGAGAAACAACAGCAGATATTAAATTCATATAATTGTCGAAATTACACATAAGTCTAGTTACTTAGTTTAGTAAGTATATTTAATAAATTTTAAAAAGCATTAGAAAACAGAAACTGATGATAGAAATATTTTTCATCATAGAGCTATAGAGAATGTTGCTTTACATTGGAATCATGAATCAATCATTGTCAGACCACCACTAGAAACCTGGAAGCACTAGACGGCCGTTTCGTCTTAGTGTGGGACTATTCAGCAGTGCATATCCACGACCCATGCTTGCGGAAATGGAATCCAACACCTTCGATCTCACATCGGAACACAAATTCTAGACCACTTAGCC